GATTACCTTTGAGTCTTGTTTATTTTAGGAAAGGTGGGAAGAATCAACACATTTTGTTGAACAGAAGAGACTCATAAGAGACTCTGTAGGAGTATTACGTCTGTACTAAGATGATGTAGCAACATCAATTAAAACATGTAATTGACACTGTTTTCTTAGAGTTGGAAAAATGCAGAAAATTATCTCTGGTTCATACTAAGGGGTCTCTTAATTATATTGTATTCTTATAACTTTAAGGCAGAGTGATTCAGCCTGACCTGGGAATGTCCTTTTAGCTAGTTCACCTGTATTTATAGACAAAAGGAGGCTAAAGTAATTATGAGAGAGATCTGGGACTATTCCCAACAATTTCCTCGATACTTTGCTTTATTGAGTCTACTTCAGTATTTCTTCTATGCTAATGAGTGATCACTTGACTCCTGCAATGACAGGTATTACGCAAATGAAAACACTTATTTAAATAGTATTAATTAAATTATCAGTTCAAACTGTGGAAGCTCTCATGCAGTGGCCACCAAGGGAACTGGTAAATTGTACAAAGCTAAGTTTATTAAACTTGCTAAGCAGGGGAGAGCAGCACGTCCACAGAGACCCTGTTGTGTCTCGAGTGTGGGAATTTAGGGAAAGGTACATGTACAGTTTGGGGGCTGTGGTTAGCTATAGGGTTGTTTTAAGGCAGAAGTCAGTAAGTGAGGTCTAGATAAATATTGGTAGAATTTATAAACTAGGCAAGTTGTAGTCTTGTCTTTGGAATGTGAGTCCATGAAGAATTAATGTTAAATCACTTTCTCTGTGCTCTTATCTTGGAATAGAGTGTCTGAAAGAAGCTGGTGTTAAAACATTGAAATTTAGTTTGTGCTGCCCGTTTTGTGATTTATAACATAGTTTCGCAGCTTGTGATTTTTGTTTTATTTCTCACAATAAGCCAGTATATATCCTGTATAACACACATACATATTATTTATTTTTTATAATTCTTTAAAAATTTTTAAACTGTATCATATCTTGTAAGAAA